AAGCCGGCGAGCGGCCGGGGCGGAAGTGGGCCGAGGTCTCTTCCGGCAGCCGCGGAAGAGGCACGTGGGATTGCACTCTAACCGTTGTCGCCCTCCTTCTACGCGGGCCGCTCTGACCGCTTCCCCGTCTATCGTCATGGAGACCGAGGCAGTGGCAGCGGGCGAGGGCGGCTTCACCAGCGTTCTGTCCAGACGGAGCAGGCTTTTTTCAAGGAGGTGGCCATGGACACGGAGGAGCCGTGGCCCAGCAAAAGGCCGGCCTTCCCGCCGGTGGCCACCGAAGCGCTTGGGGTACGAGGGAATATATCGGGAAAGAACCAGGGCCTGCGGGTTGAGCAGTCCTCCGGCTCCTGGAACAGCGGCCGATTCTCGGCCTCCCCTTGCTCCATGTCTCTTGTCTCCCACGCTAGGTTGGGAAAGGCGAAATGAGGAAGGTTCCCGTGCCAGCCAACAGGTACACTCCACTGAAAGAGAATTGGATGAAAATATTCACACCTGTCGTAGAGCACTTGCAACTTCAAATCAGGTTTAATCTGAAAACAAGAAACGTTGAAATCAAGGTAAAGAGAGCTCCTTCTGTTTTCCCAGCTAATACCTCAAATGCGGTGCCTCTTGTGGGTGTCCTTGTTCTGTGTATTAAAGACTAGGTTTGTGTTATGAATCCCCCATAATGCTTGGGAAAATAGGAACTGCGTAGTTTCACTTAACCAGAAAACTCCCAATCCATCAAATATTGCAAGTTGTTAATGCAAATAAAATTTAAGTATCTTAATCCCTTCTAGAAGGGGCCAGCATAAACTGGTGTCAGAGGGGTCAGTTTGTATAGGAGAAAAATATGTATTTGAGAGTTTAAAAAGAATCTTAGTCTTTGTGTTAGATATTATTTTGGAATGCAATGTGCTCCAGCTATTTAAGGCTACTAAGTACTTATGTGACAATTTCAAGCTAAGAGCGTCTTTTGAGGGGGCCACTGCATCATCTAGTATCTTTTGTTTGTGGCAGAAGATAAGGGCCTATAGTTTAATGGCCTGTGATTTTTCTTTATGGATTGCACTGAAATAGTTTAGGATACTATAATTGTAAATCTTGTAGATGCTTATTCTTCCTTCTTATTCCTTCTCAGAAATATTAAGACTAGCTGTTTTTAATTGTGTAAAAGCTCACACCATGCCTTTGACACAAGTTGCTGTATTAGCAATGTTGATGTGTGAGATCTTCTAATGTTGAAATACAGACACCAGCAGTAGTTTTGCTACCTAACCTAGAAATCTTACCACAAGTTCAATGGTAGCAACTAGAGGAAAGGTGACAGAACTATCCCTTATTTCAACTTCCTAAAATTAACTGGAAGGTAGGGAAGAGCAGGAGCTCTTGCAGTTTCACTGAGTAAGAGTGCAGGTGAAAAACCTGATTTTAGTACCACTTTGTGATAAGAAATTATGTCTGGTTGAAAAGCAAGGGAGTTTTATTCTTTATCAAGCTGATTTAATTTTGCCGATGTTTATCATAAGTAGAAAACAACTGAAAACTTTGAAACTATTTTATTTTTTTGACATGGTGTTGAAGCTGTAAATTACATTTCAGAATAACTTTGCTGTTCTGTGTTGCAGTTTAGTTTGGAGTTTTGGTGGCTTTTTTCTAAAAAGGGTTCTCCTCAGTCACCAGTGGTGGGGATTTTCAGTAGTTTCTCTTTTCCCACCCCTCCAAACACAAGCAATGATAGTTGATACATTCTTCTTATTGAGGGTCAACATTATAAAAAAGCACAAAGTGTATTACCTGGGTCTTTCAGTAAAACACAATACAGGAGTGTTACCTGAATGTGACTTTTTAATGGTAAGTCTGTGTCTCTCAGACTTTTCAAGTCCTGACCCTACTTGTATGGTGTACATTTGCAAATGTAACTTCTTATCTTGCAGACTTGTCAAGAAACAAAGGATCTCAGTGCTTTAACGAAGGCAGCTGATTTTGTGAAAGCATTTATACTTGGGTTTCAAGTAGAGGTGAGTCTCCAAAAAGCTGAAGAGTGAGATTGCTTGAATTTACTTCCATGAAGCCTTTGGCCTCTGCAAATTACAGTAAGAAAAAAATAAAAATCTGTAGGTGGTTTTCTATAAATAAATTTGTTTGAGATTGTGACTGTAAGTCAAATTTCTTAAACTAATATAGAAAAAGGTAATCTTCAAATAATTAAAATTATGAAATGGAGGACATAAACAATAACCTGGCTGTGAGGTGCTCTGCATATGTAGAGACTGTTCACTTTGCTTTAGTCCAAGCCAATAATCTTCTGTCTGTTCAAACCTCAAACTTTAGAGGAAAAAACCCCACTTAGCAGTTATTGTACAGGTTGCTTGTTGCTGTAGACTTGTACTGACATCACTAGTAGAGGTGCATCTGTGGTAAATGTGCAGGGCTCTAAGCACGTGTAGAGTTCTCTACACAGCAATAAAATACACTGCTGTAGAAAAAAAAGGTTGCTCTAACTTTAGCTGACTACTGTTTGGTAAGTGGAGAAATACTATTGATGTCATCTGTTTATATGTGTAAATAAAACTTCTCAGCTTGCAACACTTGTAACACACATGCTAATAACAAATTTTTAATATTTTAGGATGCTCTTGCTCTTATCAGATTAGATGATCTGTTTCTAGAATCATTTGAAGTTACAGATGGTAAGTGGTTTCTGCTGCAGTATTCAAGTAGTTGTGTGTGCCATCAAAGAGTATCTTTTTTTGTTTCTTTCTCCTTGCTCTGCTTGTCAGTAATCATCAAGGATCAGGAAAACCTTCAGGCCATTACACAGAATTATTGTCTAGGTACAGGCAGCTTGAAAAGGTGGTTGTTTTTGTAAGATGTCCCAACAAAACACCCCAAACCTTCATCCTTAAAAGCATGTAATTTTGTCAGTGATTTTTTTCACTGTGTAAATGTTGTTTTAGAGGGGATATGGAATGTTTTGGGGAATATGGCCATTCAGTTTTAAACCAGAATGTGCTTTGTTCCTCCCAGTATCCTGACAGCAAGGGGTGGAAAGTAGAAGAGACATTTATTATTGCATGTATTGCTAGAACATTTAAATCTGCATCTAAATCTGATCCATTTCATTTATAGTGGTGTTAATTGTGTATACTCGGGCTGGTTCTTTCCTCTATCTTAATTGCTCAGTAAGAATGCCTTCGGTTCCAGTTCTGTATGAGAATTTCTCTCTGGTGCCAAAGACCTCATGGTCACATACTGCTGGGTATGATTTTCACTTCTAGATATAATATATATTTCACCTGTAGTAAAGCTGCTTTCATATTACTTGAGTTGTTCCTAAGTTGAACAGGGGAAGCACTACAGAAATACATTGCTGTTACATTAAGCATGTTTTTCTCATTTTAGTTAAACCATTGAAAGGAGATCACCTGTCAAGAGCAATAGGGAGAATAGCAGGTAAAGGTGGGAAAACAAAATTCACTATAGAAAATGTAACGAGGACACGAATAGTTCTTGCTGACATGTAAGTATTTTTTGACTTCCTTGTGGGCAGTGCACAATCCTTAATTTAATCCATGTCCTCTTCCAGGAACAAAGAACCTCAATTGTATTGAAACACTTGTAGAAGAGTAGTAAGAGAAATTGTGTTATTTTTAATGCATGCTATTTGAGCATTTGATGTTTTGTTGTGAGAATGATGATGATGTCACCTAGAATTGCATAATTCCCTGCAATATAAGAATGCCTTCTTAAAAATCGAAATTGAACTCGCCAACCTTGCAACAGTGTTTCCTTCCTACAGCTGCTGCACTGTTAAATTTGCAAATTGTGAAATGTATTTTGAAAAGAATTTAGAAGCACACAGGTTTTACCCTGTAGGTTTTCTGGTTTGGAGTGGCTTTTTAATTTGAAGTATAGAAAAGGAATTAGTACATTCATCTGAAATTCCGTGTTTATCTCTAACCTCCAGCTTTCTATTAACTATGTACTTGCAGAGAGTTTTTTCCATTAACTACTGTGACTTGACTGCTTTTTTTACAGGAAAATTCACATTTTGGGATCTTTTCAGAACATTAAAATGGCACGAACAGCAATTTGCAATCTAATTTTAGGTAAGTTCTGTTATCTAATCTTGTCCATTAGACATAAATAGATCTTGCAGTTTAAGAAACTTTCTGTGGGTCTTGCATTCTTCCCTGGCATGTCTTCACCTGCATTTGGAGACGCTAAGTTCTTGGGAGTTGTCTCAATGCCTTTAAGAAACAGGTTTGGGGAAGAAGCAGGGAGCCCAGGCCTTGGTTTCTGACTCCAAAACTCTCTCCATGGTACATGAGGAAGATTTCCTGCTTTTTGCCTTAGTTGCAGCATTCTTTGAAGGGGCTATTTTGAACATAATGTCCAGAAAGCCAAAGAGGACAACCTATGCCGACAGCAGAAGCTTAACTTAGCACTAGCAATTTTTAACACAGATTTTTGTGACATCTTGTTTGCTGACTAAATTTGTGCCTTCTTCTGCAGGAAGTCCTCCATCAAAAGTTTATGGCAATATTCGGGCAGTGGCCAGCAGAGCAGCTGAAAGATTCTGAACTACAGCACAGCTGCCCTGCAGCTGCATCACCAAGGACTGGAGCTGAGAGTCATGGCTTCTGGAGTTACAGAAGCACTCGCTCTTCTAATTGATTTGGAAGATCAGAAGAAAACCAGGACTTTGTGCGCTCTAATTTGCTTCAGACATGCTGTCCAATTTGAACAAACTTAGTATTTGCATAGTCATTAAAAGTTGTTTTAAATTGATTGTGTCTATCAGAAGTACAGGTGCCTGATTTTATTTAAACTTCTCCTCAGACAAAAACATGCTGTATTACTGACTTTCTGAACATCAGAGTACTAAGAAACTGCTGTCAGGACTTCAGAAAGCCTTTGAATTTGAGCCTAAAGGACTCAGCATAGTTAAAAGTGTTCACAGCCACACATCACAGATTCTATCTTCCTGCAAAAGGAAGAGTCAACTGGAATGCACAGTTCAATGGCAAGCTGCCCAGCAAGTCTCTGCTACTGATGGGACAATGATGGTAAGAAGACAGAGTATTTGAACTTAATTCTAGAATCTGCACTTACATACATAGGTTTTTTTATTCTCTTGCAAATGATCAGTAAAGGCAGCTTAGTGAATTTTAAAAGCCACCAGGTTAAGTACTGGCTGGTATACCAGAGCACAAACAACTGTAAAGTGCTGTATCTCCGTAAAATGATACATGCACGCAGCAGAGTAGGGGGAGAGGTGACAGAGCACAGTCACAGTCCCAGTTTGACTTGAATCACAGAATATTAGGAGTTGGAAGGGACCTCTAAAGATCATCCAGTCCAACTCCCCTGCCAGAGAAGGATTACCTAGAGTACGTCACACTGGAATGCATGCAGGTGGGTCTTGAATGTCTCCAGAGAAGGAGACTCCACAACCTCTCTGGGCAGCCTGTTCCAGTGCTCTGTAACCCTCACAGTAAAGTTTTTCCTCATGTTCAGATTGAACCTCCTATACTCCAGCTTGTTCTCATTTCCCCTTGTCCTGTCATTTGACATCAGAGAGAAGAGCCTGGCTCCTTCCTCCTGACACTTGCCCTTTACAAATTTATAAACATTAATGAGGTCACCCCTCAGTCTCCAAGCTAAAATGTGGGCCCTTTTCTCCTGACTCTGCCACCCAAACTTGTTACCAGGTCTCTTGCAAAATAATTCTGTTGAGGTTTGTGAACAAAACCAAAGTGTGATTATAAAAAACAAGCAAATTGAGTAAGCATTTCTCTCAATATCTTGAGTTTTCAATGCAGCACTATATAATATGGGATTATTATTACAGCCAAATTAATTCAAACCTTCAGTTGTTGCAATAGTTAAGACTTGCTGAGTTACCTGAATGTACAGCTATACAGGAGAGAGTATGTCCATTCTGAGCACCTCAAGGTAAAACAGTGCACTTACATGGTTAGCGCATTTTTTGTTCCTTGGTTGCTTATGTCATTTTTCTTAATTAGCTTGAAAGATAAGGGGAGAGTGAGGCAAAGACACACAATCTAATCTCTACCCTAAAGCAAGTGCACACTAATACCAACCAAAAGCTGTAGAAAGGAAGAGGGCTGCACACAGAGGCCTAAACAACTGCACCACAAAGAGCAACCGCAAACAGCTCCTGTAAAAAGATGTACCTGCTACAGGGACGACTGTTTTTACCAGCAGAACTCAGACCTTTCCTTGAGAAAGAAGCTGCCTTTCATTCTCCATCTACGTTAAAATTAGGATTTGAGGGGGTTTTCTTTTGTTTTTTTTAAACCACCTTCCACTTACCACAATTATTATGAACTTAGTAGGATTTAATCAAGGTATTTTATCCAATTTGGACATTTAACAAGAGAACCAGATGTGCCTTTAAGAAAAAAAAAAAACCACCACAGAAGTGGTTTTCAAACACTGAAATGAAGTTTGGAACTGTCTGCAGAGGACTATCTGCACCCTGGTATGTTTTCTCAATTATAAACAAAGAGGATACAAAAAACTATGAACAGCAAAGTTTCCCTTCTTTAAAGCAAGGTGCAGAGCTGCTTCAAGGTGAACAGGGAAGTTCTAGGTAAGTACTGAAGCACCCCAGCCAAGGTTCGAATATTTTATTTTTTGTATTCATATAGTAGGAAGGGTCTTATAGTTTCCACAATGTATGATGTAGCATGCAGAAGAAAAACTAAACATTCAACACAAATCATTTTTTCCCCCACACAAACTAAAAAAAAAAACCCAAACAACCGTCATCCCTCCCCTTCCAGTCCCCCTAAGGAAATAACATTAGCACTAATTTCTATAATGCCAGCCAAGATATGCACAAGCAAGTAAGAGAAATCAAAAGCATTTGCCAAAACATTTGTAACAAATACTTATGTACAAAAAATTCACAAAAGACTAGTACCCCCTTAAAGCAGAGCACATGGCAGTTGACACTGGAACAGATACAACCACTGGCTGGGATTATAAGCCACATACTGATCCAGAGGAAGAAAAGTTACATGTAGTGGAGATTTTTGTTTTGAACATTAACATTTACCAACATTTGGCAACAGTATATTTTAAATTATGCAAATTATGTAAACAAGAGGAACATTTGAAATTGATCTACATGCAAAACT